GAAGGAAATGACCTGCTTGAGAAGGGGCATCAAGGCATTTGAGGTCTGGCCTGTAGACACAGAGAGGAGCTGGAGAATGGAGCCCAGTCTGCATGCCAGACTGCTGTGTCTAGAGATAGAGCCCCTGCCCGTGGTCAGCGTACAGTTCAGAGAGAGGACAGAGAAAGGGAGCAAAGTGATGACAGATGTGAGACGGGTGTCAAAGGAAGCAATGGTTATCTAGAAAATTGGGACGGCTAAACTGAGACCAGTAGGACACGACGGAGCCTGCTGTGCAGAGCTGGGGGAGAGTAGGAAAGGCAGCATAGAGTCCTGAGGTATGCCAGAGCTTGGTATATTTGAACTGAAAGCATGCCAGTGTAACTAGGGTATAGTTAGCAAGAAGCAGAGTATCTTGGGATGAGGTAGAAGAAGCCAGAACAAGCAAGGCTGTGGTAAATGGGATAGATTTTCTTTTAGAACCATTGGGAAACCACTGGCAAAGTTTAAGCAGTTTTGAGTTTTATGTAGGGATGTGACAGCTCACCCTATGTGCACCTCTTGAAAGGTTCTAAGTTCTCAGCCCTAGAGCAAGGCTGTAGGGGAAGAATCTGGCCAAGTGGGTCTGGGAAGGCTGGGGCTGGTAGTAGGACTGGACTGTCCACTGGATTCATCCGTCCACTTATTCAGTGCAGAAGTGCCAGGCCATGCCTTCTCCAAGGAATCCAAAGCATAAAAGTTTTGAGTGTGGCCTTTGTGGTCAAACAGGTCTGCTTTGAATTCCCTCATAGGCTGTGTGTCCGTAGGCACCTCTAGGTCTTAGTTTCCCATCAGTGAAAGTAGGGATAATACCTCTGAAGGTTTATAAGGATTAAATGAGGTCACACCCAAAGTGCGTGTCACTGTGCCTGCACTAGGCAATTCGACAGTGTTGGTTCTAATTAGTGTCGTTGTCCTTGTTGTTTCCTGGGTATTGTCAGTAACTGACTTGTACCAGATCTGTGTGCATTGATTGGTTCGTTTGATTCTCCAGCATGCCTTGAAACTCAGTCCTTAGCTCTGCTACCTAGGACAAGTTATCTGACCTCTGAGAAACTGGCCAATACTCCCTCTATGTCTTCCTCTAGAGGATTGTTGTAGGAGCAAATGAAGTAATGGGTGGGAAACCTTTTTGTGAACTTTAAGTTAGTGCAGACATAAGGGATTGTTATTAAAAGCAACAAGGCCCCCATTGGTTAGAGCATTTCTTTAGAGAGAAAAATAGCACTTGATCTGGAGTAAGGCCCCACAGGAGTAGGAATCTCCCAGCACATCTGTGGGGAGGGGTTAAGTCTTTTAAGATGCCATTAGTGTGGTAGTTAGTAGTGATAAGGCACCAGAATTGTTGCCCTGATGTTTTTTTCTTTTATAATTGCCTTCACCTCAGAAACCACAAGTAGCAGCGGGGCCTAGTACTGATTATTTTATTTGAAAAACTAATTGAAAGTTGAGCGAGCTCTCAATTTTTGCTTTTGTTGGGCCAGGCCAAGGAAAACGATGAGGAGGTGGGTCTAAGAGAAGGAGGTCTCCAGGGCTGGCCCAGCCAGTCTCCCATTCAGCAGTCTCCATTGTTCTTCCTTGGCAGGTTCTAGGCTGGCCTGCCTCTCTTGGTTGAAGTGGACAGCCTGCCTTCAATGGCTAACCCTCTCCTCTGGAGAGAGCTTGTGTCTCCCATTGTTTTTCTTGTCTCAGCAGAGCTCCACCAGGGCCCCTGCAGAGCCTTTTCCACGCCTACATTTCTTTTTCAGTGCTAAGTGGGGCTCCTAGTAGGAGCAGGTGATCTAAGCTCTGTGAAGAAATTGGTTTTGCAATTCGAGCACTAAGAGTTAAGAAACTTGGGGTGAACACTTCCCTTCTTTGGTGACAGTGTCCCCAGGTGAAAAATGAAAGGACTAAGCTTGCTCATCTGGGAGTCCTTAATGACCTGAAAATACTGACATTCTTTCATAGGTTTCCCCTTCCCCTGTTTTCTATTTTTGGTGCCGTGGTAGTAAAAATATACACACTAATAACAAAAAGATGAAGACCCCCCAACAAGATGGATTGGCACAGTGACAGCAAAATGGGCTCAAACAACAATTGTGAGGATGGTGTAAGACCGGGCAGTGTTTCGCCCCGCTGTGCAGAGGGTTGCTGTGAGTTGGAATCAACTTGACAGTGTCTAACAACAACAACACAGAGGATTTTGTATAAGTGGGACCATAAAGTGTTTTCATTTGTGTCTGACTTTTTACTCAGCATTTTTCAAAGTTAATCCAGGTTGTAGCATGTAACAGAATTTCATTTTTCTTCATGGCTGAGTAATATTCTATTGTATGCATATACGACATTTTGTTTATCCATTTATCTGTTGGTAGACACTTGGGTTACATCTGCTTTTCACTATAATAAATAAGGTTGTAATAAACATTGTGTACTGAGATATTTGCATTTTTTTTCAACTAAGACTTTAAAATCATTTTAAGTACATTTCAGTTTCAACTATTCAATAGGCACATGTAGCTGTTATTGCTGCTAACTGTTAAGTGTGGTCGAGTTGGTTCCAACTCCTAGCGACCCTGTATAGTGTCTCCAAGTAGCAGCTGGTAAGTTTGAGCTGCTGACCTTGTGGTTGGTTCACAGTCCAGTGCCGATCTTACAGCGCCATACCAGAAGTCTAGTAACCACCATATCAAACAACCCAGTTATGTGCTCACTGACTGATTCCTTTATTTTCCTTTGTTGTTGTTAAGTGCCATCAAGTTGGTTCCAACCCGTAGCAGCTGGTGAGCTTGAACCACTGACATTGCAGTTCAAGGTGACTTTGCAGTTCAGCACATTAACCCCCAGCAGCACACCAGGACATTTTCTTTTATACACATTCAAAGCTGACTTCTGCCTCCACAAGCCCACCTAGTTTGTTCTTCCCAAGGTCATTAGTGGCTTCCACATTACCTAGTCCATAATTAGTTCTTAGGGTGATCTCAACCTATTTAGCTATTGGAGAGAGTGGGAGTTGGGGGTTTCTCAGCACCCCAACTCAACAGGTTCACTGGATCAGTCAGCCAAATGAACACTCAAGGTACGGTGGGGAGATGCTCATTCCTTTAGTTAGCAAAACAGCCGTGAGTGCAGGTGAAGGGTCTCAGGTAGTCTCTTGCCTTTCTTCTTCTCTTTAATTCTCAGAGCCCTCTTGTGCTTTCTTTCCTCTCTGTGCTCTCCCTCTGCGTCTGTCTGTTCTCTCTCAGTTCCCATCCGTTCTCACTACCCCTCATGTGGGGGAAGCTCTTTAAGTACTACTACAGAACAAAGAAGGTAGCTTGCCAAATATGACCCACAGGTGATATAAGAGTGTGACATCATTCTAATATGGCTGCACACAATGACTTAGCATTCCCTGGTTTTTGTCAGAACTACTGAGTCGCCCCTGGCTGGAAGGAGAAGAGTCCCTGGTAAACAATAGCCACTCCCTGGCTATCACCATCTTCTGGCCCAACATTGACCATCAGCAGCATTTGGCACTGGGAATCACTTCCTACTTGAAACACTTTGTTCCATTGGCTTCTAGGGTTTGCACTTCTCTTGGTTTTCCTATTACCTCAGTGGTTGCTCCTTTTCTATCTCCTTTGTTCCTCATTTTCCTCCAAATTTTAAATACAGAGTGCCCCAGGCTCAGTCCTGGGACCTCTTCTGGACTCTTCCTATACTTCTTCCCTTAATGGTCTAACTTAATCACCTGACTTCAGAGTCCATTATAGGATGATGGCTGCCAAACATGTCTCCTGCCCCGAGATCAAATCCTTCTTAAACTCTAGTGGTTCCCATCTCACTAATTGTGAGCTCCAAATTCCTCACCATGGCCTCTAAGAGTCTCCATAAGCCAGCCTTTTACACCTTCTATGCCTCCTTTTCTTCAACTCTCACCCTCTACCCACCCTGGCTGCCACACTGATCCCCTTTCACTTTGTTGCCCCAGGGCCTTTGTGTTGGGTTTTCCCTGCCTGGACTGTTCCTTACCCAGATAATCAAGGCCAACTCTCTCTACTAAACTATCACCTTATGAGGTCAGGGCCCTTGTCTGTTTGCTCAAGCTTAGAACAGTGCCTGGCACATTGTTGTTGTATGCCATAGTGACTCATAGCGACCTTGCATAGGGTTTCTGAGGAGCGGCTGGTGAGTTTCAACCACCGACTTTGCAGTTCAAACTGACATTGAGGTCGAGTGCTTATCCTACGGCACCATACCCCGTGCCTGTAGTAGGTGCTCAATAATGAATTGATGGATGAATAGCACATAGTAGGTGCTTGATAATGATTTGTTGGACGAATAAATAATTATTGTTCATGGATGAACAGTAGACAAAGATTAACCAATAGACAAAAGATGGCTTTTGTAGATGAATATAGTTAAGAATCTGAGTCCAGATTGGACTGCCTGGACTTGAATCAGGACTTCAAACCAGTTCATTCGATTCGACCTCAGACATACGCAATTTTAACAAGAGTCCCCAGGTGATTCTTACAGATCACCAAGTACACATAAGAATTATCTGGGGATCCTATTAAAATGTGGGTCTGATTCCGTTTATCTGGGGCACAAATGCAAAATTTCAGCAGGGGCAAACCAGAATGAATCAGTTCGAAATCCTGGTTTGAATTCCAGCACTCACTTGCCAGTGTGTGACCATGGACAATTCAGTTTGCTTTTCTGCACCTTGATTCTTTTATCAGTGAATTAAGGAGAATGCTAAATAAAGCTTCCCAGGAGACTAGATGAGGAGCCTGTGAGATCACACACGTGTTATCGCTTGGTAAATGTTAGCAGGTTTTTTATGGCACCTTTAGTATCACTTTGGGAACTGTAACTATGCAAAACACATGTAAAAAATTAGGATGAAGATAAAAAAAAATTGAAATGCAGACCAGTATGGGGGATTTTTATTGTACTAACAAAGGGAAAAGGTCAGAAATTAATAGGATTAACTGGGTTGAGTTGTGTTTGGGCTACAGGTAGCAGAAAGCCCAGGCAGAATCTTCATCCTTGGGAATTCCTGCAGCAGAAAGAAAGACAACTGTTTAGCCTGGAGGACTAATGGAAGAGCGAAGTAGGGAAGGACTACTAGAAGCCAGGGTGACAGTGACCCCAGTATGAGGAACTGGCTGTCTAGGTTCCAAAAGAAACAGTGTCAGGTGGAGGGAAGGATGTGCAGACATGCCAGCAAAACCTTAGCCCCCACCTCTGCCACCTTGTTCCCACCGAGCACCTGGGTGGTGATTTCCCCTTGAAGAAGCCGCTTCTAATCTCCAGACTGGGTCAGCTTCCTCCCAGCATATATGTTCATTACAATGTAATGAAAGAATCCATTCTACAAGAACTTGTTTAATTCCTGTCTTCCTGGGTGCATTATGAATTCCAGGAGAGCTGTCCAGCTCACTGCTGTACCCCAACCCAGGGCCTGTCCATAGTGACCACTGAAGGGCTAAGGTGGATTCATCTGAACCTCATTTTCTTTACAGAGCTATCTGGATGGAGCACAAGGTGTGGGTGCAAAAGTGTGCCTTTAAAAAATCGCTCACCTAGTCCCCAAGTGGTACAGATGGTTAGCACATTCAGCTACTACAGAAAGGGTAAAGGTTTGAATACCCCACACCGAGACTTTTCAGAAGAAAGGACTAGTATCTATTTCTGAACAATCAACCATTGAAACCTTATGGGACACATTTCCACTCTGTCACACATGGGCTTGTCATGGGTCGGGATCATCTGGTTAATGGTCTCTGCACTATAAAGGTGAAAGAACTCAATCTTTTGGGTCCTCTCAGTCCCACAGAGATCTCCTGGTATTTGCAGCGGTTAAACTGGAAGACAATGGTGGTGGCCGCCTGCAGACCCCTCCCTGAGTGCTGTGTGACTTCTAGCTCTCCCAGGGACTTTTTGAGGCCACTAGCTTTTAGCCTGCAAGGAACAAAGCCTGCATTCTTAGGACTGTCCTCCTCAGGTCCACTTTAGCTTACCAGAGTCTGGTGGGAACCATAACGGAGGTGAATGATTAGTTCATCACAGTGGGAGTTACACAGGAGTAGCATTGTTCTTAGGGTTCCACCTCTAGGGAAGTTTGAGGTGATTGACGCTAACTCCCTCTTTCATAGAAGAGAAAATGAATGAGGAGAATGATGGTCGCTGTTTACAGTGCATTGTAGAACCAGGCCTGGGACCCAGATGTCTATCCTGCCTCCCAGACCTGACTTCCACCCTTCCCATAGTCCTCCCCTGGACCACTTGAATTTCTGCAGGACTGCAGAGTTGGTGAGCACTCGAGGCTCCTGGTGTCTAATTAGATTGGGAAGAAGGTGAGGGATCACATGGAGAGCTCTGGTGGGAACTGGATCTGCTTAATAGCCTAGTCCAGAAATGCCACAGTTTATAACCAGGCTTTAAAATACAGCAGTTTCTCCAGTTATATCTTTCTTAGCAAACTTGGTTCCTGGAATGGAGCTTGTATGAAGAAGCCCCAGGGAAGCAAGAAACCTTTGGTCCTGCCTGTCCCTGACATTGAACCAGCTGCTGTCTTTTTTTTTTTTTTTTTACCTCAGTTTTCCTCCTCTGTAAACATGGAAGGAGTCCTGGTGTAGCGCTGTAGGATAAGCACTTGACCACAAGGTCTGTGTGAACCACGAGGTCGCCAGTTCAAACCCACCAGCTGCTCCTCAGAAACCCTGTACAGGTCACTTTGAGTCAGAACCCACTCAGGAGCACTCCACAACAATAACAACAGCAAACAGGGAAAGTCCATTCCTAATCTTTCCTGAAATCCTTTAGGATGTGAGCGTCATTGATGGGGGTCATGTGTGACTGACGTTTCCACCAGAGGATGGTGAGGACACTGGTCTCTCTTGGGCTCTGTAGCTTTGTGAACTTGGCAAGGGATCCAGGGTGTGCTTCTCAGATCACCTGCATCAGAATCTCCTGGGACACTTGTTGATATTTATATTCTGGGATCTTGTCCCAGAGCTATTGAATTCAATAACACTCTTCCAGACTCAAACTCTGAGCCAGACCACTCACTGCTCACTGAGACACAATAGCACACATTCTCTCCCTTTCCTTGAATTCTCAATTTTGTTTTAGTTTATATTGTAAAAATAAAAATTTGCCAATTCAACGTATTTTCACTTGTATAATTCAATGAAAACCATTTACATTGATCATGTTGTGCAACCATTACCAACATCCATTGTAATCCAAATGTCCTTCCTCTAGTTCTTGGTATGTATAAGAAGGGACCTCATTGCCAGTTTTCTTGGCAAATATTGGAAAGAAAGGGATTCTTTCCTTTCCTTGGCAACCCTCATGGAAAGAGGCTTCTGAGATCCCTAGATGCACACACACACACACAAGTATTCCTACCTGTGCTTCTGCAGCAGGGTCACCAGGATGTTCTCCAATGTCATCAGCTTTTGGTCTGCCCACATGCTCTCCACCTGACGGCCAAACCTTGCTCCTTGCTCCTGGTTTTTCTCTCTGGTTAGAAAGACAGAAACAGCTGAAGATGACCAGGCAAAGTGAGACCTTTTA